GGCTGACCTATTCTGAATGGATTCCAATGCAGTGATTAGAGTATCGTGACCGGGATCCCAGATGGAGGCTGCATATTCTAATTTAGGCCTGATTAATGTTTTGTAGAGGATCAATTTTAGTGAAATAGGTGTCAATGAAAAGTTGCGTTTTAAGTAGCCCAACATGCAGTTAGCACGGGTAGTAACATACTGAATGTGGGGTTTCCATGAAAGGTTATTTGTTAAGTGAACACCAAGGTACTTGTACGTTGCCACTTGCTCCAAAAGGTTGCCATCTAGGTGGTAACAGGGACTGTTGTTAGGCTTGCGGGACACTCTCATCTGTTTACATTTACTAGTGTTTAGTTTCATTAGCCATAATTCACACCAACGAGAGACAGAGTTAATATCAGACTGAAGTGTAGACAGGTCAGAATCGCGACAGATTTCACGGTAAATTTCACAGTCATCGGCAAAGAGACAAACGGATGAAGACACATTAATGGGAAGATCGTTAATATAGATTAAAAATATTAGTGGGCCTAAAACCGACCCTTGAAGAACTCCAGAATTCACAGACACAGGAGGAAAATTTTCGTTGTTAATTTTTACAAATTGTGAACGGTTATTTAGAAAAGACCGAATCCATGCGAGAACGTTAGGGTCAATGTTAAGTTTTGAAAGTTTAACAGTAATAGCTCGTGACACACCTTATCGAATGCCTTGGCGAAATCTAAGAAAATGCAGTCCACCTGGGAGCCTCGGTCAAGAATAGAATAAATGTCATGAGTGAAGGATAGGAGCTGAGTATCACAAGATAATGATTTACGAAATCCGTGCTGTGCTTCGGTGAAAAAATTATTCGACTCTAGGAAATGTACGAGTTGGGAAAAGATAACGTGTTCCAGAAGTTTACATGGTATGCTGGTTAATGAAATGGGACGATAATTGTTAGGGGAATACTTATCGCCACCTTTCGGAATTGGAACCACCTTCCCCACTCGCCAATCACAAGGTAAAATACCATCTTGCAGCGACTGTTCAAACAATTTTGAGAGAATAAGAGATGAGTATAGTTTAGTGTTTTTTAAAAACTTGGAATTAATTCCGTCCACTCCTGATGAGGATGATAACTTCAGTTCATCTATAATTTTTGCAATACCAGCAGGATCAACAAAGATAGAATCCATTGGCAGATAACAGGAACAGCTCATCGAAGGGTAAGTTATGTTGCGAATATCGGAGAAAGAATCCATAAATATACTCTTTAAGACATTAGCACATTCGTCACTGGGCACGCTGTCACCACTAGAAGTTGTAAGAGAAATTGAAAAACGGTCCTTTTTGTTAACAGTATTCCAAAATTTAATGGGGTTATTTACCAACATGTCTGGAAGACTGTGTGAAAAAGTGAGATTTAGCGCCTTCAATCGCTTTTTTGTACACTTCTACAGAATTGTGATATGCGGCCCAGCGACGCTCACACTGGGAAAACTTGGCCGCACGGTACAAGCGCTTTTTTTTATTTGACAGTCTCTTCAGGGCTTTCGTGAACCAAGGTGACTGATTATTTTCAAGTATATTTCGGAGCGGCACGTATTTGTTGATAAAGGAGATTACCTTATCTTTATACAAATTCCAGTTTTCGTCAACCGAGCGCCCCGAAAAGTCTGTCAAATACTGGTCAAAGAAAACCGCAAAATCATTGTTGATCTGATCAAAATTTGCTCTACTGTAATTGCGTATTTTCTTTCGTTGGTCAGTCGGCCTAGATACCGACGTTTTGAAATGAAAATATAACATAGAGTGATCACTGATCCCTGGAAGATAAGTTATGTCACTTGCATGTTCAGGGTGAGTAGCCAATATTAGATCTAAAACACTTGCTGTCGTCGGAGACACTCTGGTGGGATGAAGAACTAATTGCGACAGGTTAAAATCGAGACACAAGTTAATGAACGAATTACACTCTGTAGTGTGTACATTCATACAATGAACGTCATCTGACCATGATATAGCGGGAAAATTGAAGTCACCCAGAAGGAAGATGGGTGCGCTGGGATACCGCATCACTATTCTGTTAATGGCGTTATGCAAAGCCTCAACAAATGACGACGAAGATGAGGGTGGCCGATAACATACTCCCATGATCCACTTCTTATGGTTCAAAACAAGGCCGACCCAGGTTAGTTCTATATCGCACGCAATGTTTAATGAAAAAGATTTAATATGGTCAGCAATTGCAATCAGGACGCCTCCGCCACACCTGTCCTGTCTATCGTTCCGATACACATTGAACTTTTTTGAACCATCAAACAGTTCACTGTTCCGTATCCTCCCAGAAAGGCATGTTTCGGTTAGAACAACAACATCAGCATCGGTAGTATCAATGATGGAACACAATTCATCACGTTTTTTTATTACACTTCTCATGTTAGTAAACAAAACAGAGACGTCGGAAAACTGTGACAGCCTAGCTCTACCCCTCGACAAATCCTACGTTGGCGAGCGCGCCTCAGCGGAATCTTGAGTAAGAGATGACTGTGTCTGGGGAATTGTCGGCTGTGCGGGAGAGACAACAGGCAAACTAGAAGGACCTAGCTCGTAGACTTCGCCATTTGTCGAGTTGAAAGCGTAACACGGGTTGTTAATGTGCAGGTTGTTGTGCCTAAGCTTAAACGTTACTCCGTTAGATTTACCAAATTCTAACAGTCTTTTTCTCGCATTACGCGTAGCAAGCGAAAAGTCTTATACGGTGCGTTTTTAATGCTTGTCTTGCTATCAGGATCTGGTCCCGCAGTTTAAATGACGAAAATTTTATAATTATAGGTCGGCATTTTTCGTGATAAAATCTTCCGAGACGATGAGCCCGAACAATAGAGTCGCCCGTAACTGGCATGCCAAGGGACGTTCGAAAAACGCTCAACATTCTTTCTTCCGTCTGGGCCCAAGTTTCTGATATGGTGTCAGTAACCCCAAAAAATATCAGATTGTCTCGACGGGACTGATCTTCCGCCTCGTCAAGACGTGCTCGCAACGCAATATTTTCGCCTTGTAAACCATCAGCAACATTTCTGGCGTCGATTACTGCTGTTTGAAGTTGTGCTACAACAGAGGCGCTGGATTCGACTGCAAGGAGCCTCGAGTTGATGTCTGAGATGTTGGCCCTCATTGTTTCTTGGTTCTGTTTAATCTCGTTAATAGATGTTAGGATTCCTGATTGTGACGATTGAATCTGTATTGATCGCGCGTTAACGTCAACAAGCATTTGATGCATTTCATTAAACTGTTTCAACTGCTCGGTGTTCATCGGACCAGGATTGGTTTTCACATCGCCAGAGGTGAGAAGCAGGAGGCTAAAGACGTCAACACATTCGCACATGGTTTCAGATAGCACTTGTGAGCACGGGAACACAAATAGGAAGACACTGCTAGTTCTTTTAGCGTATAATGAGGGGGATGAACTAATCTGTACGAACAAGAAGAGGGCTGCGTAAGTCGACTGCATGTTACAGGTGCTCCCGTGCTCACTCAAGGCGGCGAGGCGCCGGCTGGCGTTTATATCGGCTCTGGATGGTGGTGGCGATGTCGATGTGACTGTTGACGTTGTCGATACGGTGAAACTGTCGTCGAGGTTCATGTGGCGACGTGGCCACAGATGCGCAGCACTTTCTTGAAGCGGAAATCCACTGTCACGGTGATCCACGCAGTTTGGCACGCGCTCTCGAAGAATGAACTCCCTTGAATCCTGGACCGTCATCGGCCCGAAAGCCGGCAACGGGAAGCAGACCATGACCTGTACGAACAAGAAGAGGACTGCGTAAGTCGACTGCATGTTACAGGTGCTCCCGTGCTCACTCAAGGCGGCGAGGCGCCGGCTGGCGTTTATATCGGCTCTGGATGGTGGTGGCGATGTCGATGTGACTGTTGACGTTGTCGATACGGTGAAACTGTCGTCGAGGTTCATGTGGCGACGTGGCCACAGATGCGCAGCACTTTCTTGAAGCGGAAATCCACTGTCACGCGCTCTGTGGGCAAACGAGGGCTTGCTTTGTAAACACCGCGTTGGTGTATACGGTGAATAAAATGAACACGAATTACTGACTCAAGGTATTCAGAAGTGATTTCAAAGTAATTGCATTACTTTTGGAAAGTAACTGTAATGTAATGTCATTACCTTTAGTGTGCCGTAATTTGTAATGTAATTTAATTACATTTTGCAGTTTCAGAAAAGTAATTAGTAATGTAATTTAATTACTTTTTTTAAGTAATTTTGCCATCTCTGATGCCTAGTAAGTTCCCAATTCAAACGATGGCCTTTAAATGAACAAATAAAACGTTAATTTCTAATAAACTTAAAAAAATATTTTTTCTAAACTTTACTATATTTTTTTTTAAATGGGCTCTTGGGCAGACACCCAAGCGGCATCAACCTTTTTTTCTCTGCGATGCTTAGTTTTCGCAGGAGCGATTTGGCCTGCGTTTTCTGAAACACCCTGTGTACATAAAGAAAGCATGAAGAGGCCAAAGTTACTGTTTGTCTACGCCTCGATGGTCCACAATAGCGCCGCAATGAACCAAAGAAAGTAAAAACTTAAGTGGGTTCGAATCCTGGACAGCGGAATAAAAACCCGGCGCTATAACCGCTCATCCACACCGCAGAGAGCGGATGAAGCATACACCTTATTGCTTATGACCCTGAGTACGTCCCCTTGGTGCGGCTCGTGGAGGTATGTCGCGCAAAATGCGCTCAGGAACCTTTCTGAATGGTACTACCGTGAATCTACCTGGCTAAAGGAGTTGGGCATAGCCCCTACCTTCTTAATCAACACCTACTTTTTTCAGAGGTCTGCCTAGATAAATTTAATACCGCAAAATTCGTCTCTCTTGCAAGATTTTCCATACAAAGTGAGCAGGATTTTAATCGCGTTTGGAACCACCTTTCATTCTTTTTCAGGCTCTCTTTTTGTTGTGAGGTGATGTCAACGCCCATCAAGAACCCATGTATGGAGGCGCTTTGGTACCTGTGCATTTTTTGTTTTTATTTTATGGCGAGAAAATGAACTTTCTCACTGAAATGTTTACAGGGTAGCCGCGTCTGGAGCAAGATGGCGCCAGTGGACAATGTCCCTCATTGTTGGGAATACTGGTGTGGGAAAAGAAAGTAGATGCCACGGCCTGCCGAAGAACTCTCAAGTAGCTCCCGCGGAGAATCTTGGTGAGCTCTAAACGGGTGTACTGGCTGACTTCTTGGACAAACTCTCGGTGCTGTGCAGAGCTCATGTGAAAGTTGCTGTCGTAATTGACAAGAAGAGAGATGGGGCCCATGGTGAAGGTCGTCACGCTTTCTTCTTTTCTTCTGTTAACGCTCGCCAGAATGAAAGCCCCTACACTGTCCGCCGATACATCGACGGAGACGCTGTTGCTTGTAGCAAGAATGGCATCCTCCATAGTCTGGAAAAAGACCAAAAGAGCGATTAGGTTTGCTACATTCAAGATAATCGTCGTGGGTGGAACCAGCTGAACAAGGAAGGAAGTAGAAACAGAAAAGACAACTGACCGCTGGACTACCAACTGTTTCAATAAATCGTCCACCTCTTCTACTAAATCTTATGCGTATCCCTTTAGTTCTGATTTTTTTTTTATTATTATAATAACTTTTTAGTATTATTAAAATGGTTGGTAGTCCAGCGGTCGGTTGTCTTTTTTGTTTCTCCTTCCTTTCTTGTTCAGCTTGTTCCACCCGTGATGTATAATAACCAACTAGCTCAACTTAACGCCATAGAAATTATTATGTCTCAAGTTTCTTACCAGACTTCAGTTGTTTCATTTTTTATTTAGTCGAAAATCATACCACCGTCATATTTTTTTCGAGTTGCATATTCTGAAGTTTCCTATACATCTACATTACCACATACCAGTTTTCATGGTAAAAACTGTCAAATTAATAACTACCGAATTTTGAAAAAAATATCTGGCATTCACTAAACTAGAAATATTAATAAATCTATTCTTTTTATTTACAACGCACATGAAGAATTCACACTAAAACACGCACTCCAGTCAAATGTTCTTGTGTACTGTAAATTATAAGTATGATTAGCCAACTCGCCCAATCCTCCATCTTAAATATATTAACTTCTGCCCAACAAATTTTAACTGTAATCTTTTTTTCAGCTAAGAAAACTTGAAAGAAATCGCACCTCATTTTGATTGGAACTTAGGTGGCGTGAAATCTTTCCTTATGAAATGCATTGGAAGACGGCAGATGATATATTATTACCTTAATGACGGCATCATTGAGATACGAGTAACTCTTTCAAACCAACACCAGCTTGAATAAGCAAAGCCTGTGCACTAGCAGCTCAACGTCGTTGCAGTGAGGTTCCCAAGCGCAGACCCACACTATAAAAAAGGGTGTAGTTTTACACCCCTTGTCCCATATAATACACCCCAAAACCTCAGTGTTCGACGTACAGCGCGCTGATGTCGAACCGACGATGCTAACTTTCACGAGTGGCTTGACAGCCGAGTGGCACAACTTATTAAAACCGCTAATGTACGTGTTACGTACTAAAAAAAAAAAAAAAAAAAAATTAATAATCGTTTTTTTAACTTCACTGCAAAACCTCAGAGTTTGTTTTTCTTTTTTTAGTTTTTGATACATACTTTAGCTGTTTAATCAGCTATATTGCACCGGCTGTCAAGCCCCTCGTAAACGTTGGGGCACTCAGTTCAACGTCAGGGCGCTCTTCGTCGAACTAAGGTGTGGGGTGTATTATATGGGACCAAAAGGGTGCAAGACTACACCATTCTTTCTGAGAGTGCAGGTTGGGCACAGGTTCGACTGTGCCTTGTGTCCAATCAATGCGTCGAAGGACGCTCGGCGCCGGACTCGCGCCCAGTTGCTGAGTTGGCGCCATCCTACACCGTAAACTTCAAAAAGCATATAATGGTATTTGGGAGGTGTTTTATTCCTAATACACTTTCTCAACATGCTATTTTTTTTTCACTAGGTGTAAATTGTAATGTTTTGATGCCCTTACTGAGCGTGTCACAGGTGTTACACCTTTTGGCTGCTTTGGAAATGTGTTCTGGAAATATTACACCTATAACTGAGTAGGAGAAGGTTCCGCCTAAAAACAACTTTTTCAAGTTTTTTCGGATAGACTCCATTCAATTAAGAAACCGGAGTCACACTGGGTTATTCGTATATATATGAGATGCCTTTGACAACGTTGGAGGCGGAGGGCGTGGGGGGGGGGGGGGGGGGGGGAATCCAACCAGAAAAAAGAAGAGGATTATGTACAAAATTAAAGATGGCTATCATTTCTCGTGTTGGTTAGTAATTCTGTAAACTGTGGAGACACACTATCGCTATCACCATCAACCAGTGTTGCGGAGTTGCCACTCCGGAGTTGGAATGATTCCGGAATCATTCCGCATTTTCACGACGCCGGAATGGAATGGGAATGGAATGGGCGCAATTCTTTTTTTTTTCTTTTCTTTTTTAGGGTTTGCGGTTCGCTAAAGTGAGCCAATCAGCGAGTCGATTGTTCAAAAATAAAATGAGCGGAAAACTGCTAGCCCGCGTGGAGCCATAACAGACTTATACGCAAAAAAGAAATGCAATACAAAAAACAAGCGTCGAAGCAAAGGCCAAAGGGGGAAAGGGGGGTAACGGTAGCGCCTCTCACGGATGCGCAGGCGTCGGGCTTCGATGGCGATGCACGAGAGCGAAACAAGAAACCAAGCACCAAGCAAAAGAAAAAGGAGCGGCAAACAAAGAAACCGTCATGCACAGCTCCTCATCGTCCTTCTTGTCATGCTTTTTTTTTTTTGTGTTGTTGCGACGGTTTCTATAGTCTGTTTCATACTTATCGTGCAACGCTGTCAAAGCTACTGGCGCGAGCGCGTGGCTTCTTCTATGGTTTTGTTTGCGCGAGAACGCGTGCAAATGATCAACGAGATCAAGCCCCGCTCTCGCGCCAGTGGCTTTGACAGCGTTGTACGCTAAGTATGAAACAGAGTATAGAATGCACGCGCGCGCATAGACTGAGATCTGGGAGCTGAAGCGACTCATAACTCGCAGAGCTCTGATAACTCGTTGACTTGGGAGCCGCCGAAAGATGATCAGGTATTGTTTTCTTATAGTTCGAGGAGCGTTGTTTAGGAGGCAGCCAAGCCCTGCTGCCTTCCACGTTAATTCGTGCGCACTCCTCTGAAGCGCGAAATGTCGGTTTGCTTCGGCATTAAAACAAAGCGAGATTCACTTCTCTCTTCTCCTCTTGCGCTTTGCTCCGGGGCTTGTTTTTTTATATTGCATTTGTAGCGTAAGTCCGCCTTTTACTTGGTCTTTGTTCCGATGCTTGTTCTCTGTGTTATATGTTTTAGTGGGTTGGGGTTACAAGCAAGCTAGCGGATTCCCGCTCTTCTCCTTTGACTTTAGTCTCTGCATACTTCGTTTCACCTTGCGGTGGACCGCTGCGGACGCTACGAGCCACCCCAGGCAATCCAGCACCGTGAGCGGAACTGCAGGGTCACGCGACACTCAGAAGGTACTGGATTGGTTTCGATGGCTCTCGTGCTGTCTGTTGAGGTCCATCGTAAGGTGAAGTAGACTATCGTCACCGCTCTTGGCGTGATCGAACTGACTAGACCTGTATGCCGAAAGACCGTCCCGCGCCAGACAAGGCGGGACCGTTACTGTGAGGGCAACTGAGAAGGAGAGCTGGGTGCTAGCTGCCACAGAGGTTTTCACGCGTCTCGGCTGTCCGGTCTGCATTCGTGCCCCTAGTCCTGGACCCTGTTTGAGGCGGTGAGAAGTCAGTTGGACGGTGGTGTTCAGGAAACACGGGGAATGTCAATTCGAACGGTGCGGTATTAACCCGTTAATTGTATCTTGATGTTAAGATAGCTCTGTCGACGCTGACTGCGCGACCCGTCGCCACAACGCGAGCAACCGACACCGAGGTAGAAGAATGAATTGGTTGGTACCGCCTGCTGCTTGAACCCGCCTCTCGATCAGCGCGAAGAGGACAGATCGAGTCTGGGCATCGTGGAAGACATTTTTCGACATTAGTCGCGAAGAAAATAAATAAGCTGCACGCTGAAAGTTGTGCAACGAAACTATACACGCTGCAGTCGGCGTATATCATCGAACTTTATTCGCCATCTGAAGAGGAAACACGAGAATGAGTATGCAAAGGGTGGAAAAGGGCAGGCGAACCAGCCAAAAATTGAATGTGATAAGAAATATCGAGATTCGTAAAGCAAGCGTGAACTTATGCGTTTTAAAAACAGGTTTCGTGACCTATACGGTAGTGATGCAAAACTATCGATAGTTTTTCCGAAACTATCAATAGCGTCGCAGAACTATCGATAGTCAACTATCAATAGTTTTTCGATAGTCGACTATCAATAGTGCTATCGAGAGTTTTTTGATAGTCGACTATCGATAAGGCTATCGATAGTTTTTCGATAGTCGACTATCGATAGAACTATCCATAGTTGTTTTACTATCGATAGTCAGATTTCGGGCGACTATCGATACTATCGATAGTGCTATCGATAGTTCTACACCACTACTATACGGTACCTCGTGCTTAGCCGCGGAGGTTGCATTTTGTCAGTGGATGTGTTCTTGCCGCAGTGCATGGAGTCGCTTTCAGCAGTGTACTAGGCGTGTTGCAGTATTTGAAGAATACAGTAATATAGCTTGTTCCTGCGCCACGCACGAACCGTATATTTTTATGGTCTTATCAAACAAACACGCTGGCCGCGTATGTCCTAAAAGTCAAATGCAAAAAAGTTAAAAAAGGAAAAGAAAATGAGTGGTTTTAAGTTTTGCTGTTGCGAGCCTAGTGGTCGCAAGACCGATGTCTTCAACAAGCATTGACATATCAAGGGGCTTTCTCGATGCTTGCAGTACATTGTAAATGAACACTTTGTGCCACCAGCGGCCCGCTTAGTAAAATCAGTGTTTTTTTTAAGGAATTTAGTTTTTTTTTTTTGCAATTGTTTTTGCATTTGATTATGTCAGCTTTATGCTGCTTATGCAGGCAACACAATGCAGCTGTAAAGTGCCAATTTTCACGTTTAGGAATTAGAGGAATGGAATGGAACGATTCAGCCATTCCAGGAGTGGGAATGGGTCCAGTGTCCCCATTCCTAGGAATTGAAAGGAGCTGAATTATCGAAAACTCTAATTCCCCGGAATGGAATTGGAATGGAATGGGGGTGCCCATTCCGCAACACTGCTATCAACAGAAAGACATGGCGATCAAACGGACGGACGGATCTGCGTCGTTTGTCAGTCAAGGTAAGTTCTTGATTAAGTTTTTCAAGTTTATGAAGCAAGTACTCGACTTTGAAATGTTAATAGATGCAATATGAGAACTTCGGATCTATGTACGTCAGTATTGTAAGCGGAGCCGTTCTAGAAAGCTGACTAC